AAACAGTACATGATGTACGAACAACAAACAAACAAATATCTTATTTCCTATGATTCATTAAGTTATCAATGCATTTATTTGCATACATACATACATACATACATACATACATACCTACGTACATGCATACATACATACATACATACATACATACATACTACATACATACATACATACATACATACATGTTACATGGATGCATATCTACATACATTGCATAGATACATACATACATACATACATACATACATACATATGACACACATATACCTGCATGCGTACCTACTTACCTACCTGCCTACCTACCTGCCTGCCTGCCTCCCTACCTACCTACCTACCTACCTACCTATCTAAATACATATCTACATGCATACCTGCATACATACGTGCATACACGACCTTCATACCAGCATGCACACTGTTTAGTCACTGCTTTTCCGCAGATTTAGCTATTGTTCAAGGTGGTTGCTGATACTGCATGGATTTTGAACCTTAATGATTCGGTTTCGGTCAGCTACACAACATGTGCTTTTTACAATCACATGTGGCTCCACATGTGATTGTTCACACTACTTTTGCAATCTTGGTAGAACTTATGATCACTCCTTGTCTATTTCCACGACTGCGCAAATGTGCAAACGTTGTCGGTTGTGGAACGTTTCCTTTGTTGTGTGTATGATTTGTGCCATGGCTACTGTCTCTTTCATGATGAGAACGATGGTGATCACGATGGTGGTGATGACGTTAGTGCTTGCAGAAAACGCGGGGTAAACCTTTGTCTGGCGATCACATTGTTTCGCTGTGTTGTTGTCAGATTGTGCAGGCACTCTCGTTCCAATAGTTCATATCCCTTCGCCTACCGCATACCCTACGCCATATGCCCTAAACCCTAAACCTGAAACCCTAAGCCCTACATCTGGACTTGTCGAAATTTGGAGGCGAGGTCCGAAGCGAAGAAGGCGGCAAAGCACGAAAACGGAGAAGCCCAGTGCCGAAGCTCCTGAGGAGAGGGGGCTTTTCCTTGTTTCCGTGGGGGGGCGGCTGTCAGGATCTCATGCCGAGTTGGTCCTTTGAGGGTTTCAGGGCTTTCGGGCTTTGGAGTGCAGGACCAGGCTGGAGCGCAGGATGCACCGGAGGAGCGCTGGCTGCAGGCCTTTCCTTCGAAGAGTTTCTGCCTGGTTCTGGCAGGACGCAGCCAAGGCCTCTCAAGATCGCGAGTCGGATACAGAGGTGGCAGATCCCGACACGGATACGGAGGCCAACAACATTCGGCAGTCCCCCCGATCCCCGACGGTGGTGAGGGACGTCCGTGATCTCGAGACTGCCATGGACAAGGACAAGGAGGACCTTGAGGTCCGTCGGCCGCCTGCAGACGGCTCTAGTCAAGATGGCGCGCAAGCTGCTGAGGCCGAGGAGAAGGAGCTTCAAGCAGCATGCAGTGCAATGGCAAGTGCTGAGTGCTGAAGAGTTCAGCTAGTCGGAGCGATGATCAAAGTAGGCGGAACTCAACCTTGAAGTCTCAAGCCGTGGTCTACGACGGTCTGTGTGCAGTGGCGACAGGACAGTGCTGTTCCGAAGAGGCGGAAGAAGAAGGTGGGCTCCATTCTGCTCATGAGCCTAGACGAAAAGGTTGGCAAGTTCTCATCCAGGATGGAAAGACGGAGAAGAAGCGCAAGAAGAAGGTTGGACTAAACTGGCCGTGGTGACCGTCCAGTGGTATTCCGCGTGAGGTTGCAGTTGCTGCCGTGCAGGGGAAGAGTGGACAGGCTGCGAAGGAGGAAACTGAAGTGGAGGACCGACGATGGGGACTAGGCCGAGGCTGAAGAATGGCCGAAACTTTGCAGAGTTTTGGAGTGCTTGGTTTGCACGAGTCCAGGAGAAAGCAGAAGAAGATCGACCGCAACCTCAGGACAGCCTATCTTACGACTTTCTGCCTTTCTGCCCTTGTTTCGTGATTTCGAGGAGGCACCAAAGAGTCCCGAGGAACAGAGCCCGGCGAGGTAGGGACTAGTCAGCAGCAGGCAGTGCCGTCTCAGCGCACGTGGTCGCAGGGAGCAAGAACTGCCGGAGCAGCAAGAGCAAGAGGCCGGAATGCAGCTTGAAGCTAGGTTCCAAGTCCTGAACAGTGTGTGAGCTGCTGCCTGCGCTTCTGTCAAGTTGCTGTGTTGCACTGTCGAGTTTCCGGCAGTGTGGGTCACAGGAGAAGAAGAAAAAGAAAAGGAAACGGAAAAAAGACAAGGACAGTACCTTGTTAGCTCAGGCTGCGAAGGAAGAAACTGAAGTGGAGGACCGACGATGGGGACTAGGCCGAGGCGTTGCAGAGTTTTGGAGTGCTGGGTTTGCACGAGTCCAGGAGAAAGCAGAAGAAGATCGACCGGAACCTCAGGACAGCCTATCTTACGACTTTCTGCCTTTCTGCCCTTGTTTCGTGATTTCGAGGAGGCACCAAAGAGTCCCGAGGAACAGAGCCCGGCGAGGTAGGGACTAGTCAGCAGCAGGCAGTGCCGTCTCAGTGCACATGGTCGCAGGGAGCAAGAACAGCCGGAGCAGCAAGAGCCAGAGGCCGGAATGCAGCCTGGAGCTAGGTTCCAAGTCCTGAACAGTGTGTGAGCTGCTGCCTGATCTGCTGCCAACCGAACCTATCTTCGATCGCATGACGTGCTGCATATCCGACTGTGCGACGGTATGTAGGTCCCTGGATTTTCGCAGTCCCTATGTATATGTGCTGTTGCTTCAATTCGCCACTGTTGGTGACAGGAGAAGAAGAAAAAAAAGAGGAAACGGAAGAAAGACAAAGATGGTGCCTTGCAGGGACGAGCATCTGCAATGTTTTTACGGTTTCGGCACCCAAGCCCTACACCCTGAATCCTAAATCCCAAACCCTACACTACTCTTCCTGCACTTTCTGAGGGAAGAAGGAGGCGAAGGACAAGTCCGAGTGCCGTGAGCGCGAGCAGTCCGAGGCGCCCGAAGTTGTCTTAGGAAGGTCTTTTAGTTTGAGTAGGGGTTTAGTGTATATAGCTGTATATGTTTTTGGAAACCATAAGGGGATACAACTACAAGTAAGTCCAGTCCATTACGCTGTAGCAAGCTGCAGGAGCGAGAGACTTTGTAAGGCATGATCCGCACTGCCCTCTTGAGCCCCAGAGTCTGGAGCCCATACGCCTTGAAAGATGTAGCCGAAACATCACACAAGCTGAACAAGCTCCAATACAGAACACCGTGAGACTGGACTTCTCTAAGAACTGAGACTTTTAGAGACCCTGAACCCTACACCCCTAAACCCCCTAAACCCCTAAACCCCTAGACCCCTAAACCCCCTAAACCCCCTAAACCCCCTAGACCCCCTAAACCCCCTAGACCCCCTAAACCCCTAAACTAAATCAACGAAGTCTGCTGGGACTTTTGGAGACCCGGCTCCGACGTCTTTTCCAGGAGGCTGAGAAGCCCAGCAAGCCGACCAAGGCGCGGGGGCTTAGTATTTGTAGGGGTTTATGGTTCAGGGGTTTAAGGGTTTACAGGGGCTTAGGGTTTAGGGTTGGGGGTTTAGGGTTTTGGGGTTCAGGGGTTCAGGGGTTTAGGGTTCAGTAGACTTCGGGTTTTCGGGAGGATCGGCGGCGTCATGTTCGAGTCATTCCTCATGTTCTTGGTCTGCTTCAGGCTGCATTGCTGGAGGCGGGGGCGCCGCGCCCAAAAGCAGCAGCTCGGACCTGATAGATGTCGACAGAGAAATGGCTAGAGAGGGTTCCGGGCCATCTTCGGAGTCCCTGTTTAAGCAACTCTTTTTGGGGCTTCGGTGTAGATTTTCCTCTCTCTTTTAGACCCGTAGTGCTTCTGGCCCTGCTACCGACTACCGCCAATGCTTCGACTCCGACTGCCGAGCACCGACTACCGACTACGACTGGGACTACGACTAAGCTACGACTACACCAGCGACTGCTACTACGATAATGGCTTCTACCACTGCTGGTACTACTCCTCTTCCTACTTCCACCGCGCGGCGACGACGACTAGTACTACAGTAGTACTACTATTCCTCCTGCGGAGGGTACCTCCAACGCATGTCCAGTACTTGTAGGCATAGGTAAACCATTCTAGCGTCGTTTGGCGGTTGTGTTCTTCTAAAACTCTGAGAAACAACCCGCCGCATCGTCAGTCCGCCCCCGAAGCTACTGAAAACGCTTGTTAGTCTTGACCCTTAGAGACCAGAACGACGGCACGAGAGGCTCGCAACGTCGCAGCGAAATCGAAACCGCACAGACCCAAAGCACGTGCTGAGGGATTGCCTTCCCAACGTAAGTGCTAGCTGCCGAGTGGCAGTGGTGCTGCACTGCACCTGAGAGCTCCTACACCTCGCGGTAACTGTTGCGCTGATGGAGTGTTTTCATGACATTACATGATCTGGTGGTATAGTCTTATCTACATAGAATGTACTTCGATAACGGCGTCGTCGATAACGCTATGTTGCAGTTCAGGATGCAATGTTGGATCCATGACATGAGCACTCACAAATCCTCCAGTTGCCCTGTCTCGCTGAGGCTTCTCGGCGCATGATGCTCGGTGCTTTGGACGGACGGCGTGAGGAGGTCGGCACGTGCCAATTCCAAACCCCCAGACCCTAAACCCTAAACCCTAAATCCCCCAACTGAAAATTACCCTAAATCCTAAACCCTAAACTCCAAATCACGCCAGCTGGGTCAGGCCAAGGGCTCAGCGGACGATGTGAAGACGGAGCCAGGGCCCTTTGAGCTCTTACCTGTGGGGCTCAGATGAGAGCTTTTCGGGCTTAAGGGTTTGGTTTGTTGTTTCGGCTTAGGGTTTCGGTTTTTGGAGCGTTTCGGGTTTGGGTTTGGGGTTAGCCCAAATTATTTGTCCTGGTGGCGGTGTACGCGTGCAAGGATTGGGGATTTGATGTTTGCGTATAGGGCTGCATCGTTTTCTGTACCATGACCATTCGTTGATCTGTCTGCTTGTTTGATTTCGCATTTTCTGTTGCTGCAGTTGTTATATTCAGCATAGCAACAGCAATCACGGCAAACACAGCGGTGACCAACATGACAACCAGTTCCGAAACAGCAACAACTACAATCATCCTGACGTCATGCCTAGTAAGTCCCTAGTCTATGTTTATGATATAGGCTTTATTGCTCGGACCAGCAGATTATTATTATTCCTCTCTGTGTCCACTAAGGCACTCAGCTATCAGCGATGACAATGAGAGAATCATAACATGATAGTATATACTCCAATATACAAACAATCTGTACCATCACGGCTTTCTGATGGTCCTCGTCGCTCCTTGTGGCACCATGAAACGAAGCTCGGAGCCTTTCGTCACCCTCGCCTGCAAAGGTCTGCGCCGGAGGATGGCGACCGTCAGGACCTGCAGAGTGCAGGGTTTAGGGTTTAGGGGTTTTAGTTTCCCGGTTTCCCGATTCCGAAAACTAGCAGTTACATTCAAAACCAGAGCCTTTTCGATAACGAGCACGAGCATGCCAAGCAGGAGCTGTAGCAAGTAACATTGACAGCAATAGTAAGGGTCCGGGTGACAGCTTCTGCGATAGTACGGCAGTCATACCAACAAAAGGTCAGTTTTGACAGCACCAGCAACAGCAACAGCAAGAACGATATCCGTTATGCTAAGTGCGAGAAACTGCATGCTACACTTGCAGTGATGTTGATGTCAAAAAATCGCTGGAAATACGCCTCTACAGCCTCATTCGGTAGACCCTAAACCACCTATTCTGCCTGTGCTCACATCGGATTGAGAAAGAAGCTCTGTGAGCAGGCATCTGCTCATCTTCTACAGGCTGCGGAAGGTGACCCCGTAGTTTCTGAAGCCTTTTTTGCTTTGTTTTCCGGGGTGTAGGGTTTGATCTTTTCGTGTTTAGCGTGCTTTTCCATAGGCCTTGACCTCCTGGAGTCCTTCAGAGAGAAGTCGGAGAGGCTTATCTGCCTGGGTTTCGAGTTGGGCATTTGAAGATCGCGTTGGGCGTTTGAAGTTTGAGTCCACGGCTTGGGACATAACCCATGGATAATTTCCCACTAAGCCTTAAACCCTTAACCCTAATCCTTGACCACCCAGCCGACGGCAGCCTTCGCCTGAGATTCCAAACTTGCTGGATCCTACCTGCCGCCTCCCTCCTCTCAGAAAACCCTAGACTGCAGACCTTATATCCCGAACCCAAAACCCAAAAACCCTAAACCCAAACCCTAAACCCTAAACCCTAAACCCTAAACCCAAAATTGCCACTTCCCCAAGATCCTGGCCAGGTGCTGGAGAGCCAGGTCCGAAAGAATCGACGGAACCGAAGGAGGAGAAGGCACTCCAAAGACGAAAAGGGTGATTTTTCGGAACGAAAGCCAAGTGTCAAATGCTAGATCCACTACACCAGAAGCGTATAATGTTCGGGTTTGGATTTTCGGGATTTCGGGCCGGGGGTTACGGACTAAGGGTCTGAGGGCCGTCTGAGTCCTTGCGCAGCTCAGGCCAGCAACCTGCCAAGGGGGTTGGTCTATGAAACCAAGCTGTTGTGCCAGGATCATTGCCTTCCTTAGAACGTTGCTCCAAACTTCACAATTGGACCTCGCACAGAGAGCTGTAGAGCTGTTTCGACCTCATGTAAGTCATAAGTCTATCTAGTTATATATATATATATTAATATTATGTATATATATATATATGCTCGAAAACTGGGGGGCTTAGTGGTGCAACATGGTGCAACGTGCGGGACGGCAGGGCTCCGAGTTGGCAAAGTCTGAGGATGAGAAGCCGGCCTCCAGCAAGGCATCTTCGAGCTTCAGGGCTTCTGCTTTCTATCGTATTCGGCCTCTTTCTGGGCAGTTCTTCTTGAGGTTTCATGACAGTGAGGGTAGGTGCCTGGATAAAGGGTGAGGACCAGTCATCAGGATTTGCGAAGTCGAGCTCAGAAAGAATCTCAAAAAAACATCCCACACTGCGCCAGACCTTGTAAGAATCTTGTTTCTCCCTAGACCCTCGACGAAGTTCAGCACCTGTCTCCAAAACTCTTAATGCTGCGAATGGGCAAGTATCGACCGGCAGCCGTTAGGCCCAAAACGCTCCGGAAGGTCTTCCCTTGAGTGGCCCAATAGGCCCGCAGAGCCGGAGCTATGGGGTGCAGTGGAAGCGGCAGCCGGAGCATGATGGAACCCTGCGACGCCACAGTGCTCTTTGTGCCGGAGTCTCTTTCGATGTCTCCGAGCCGAGCATTACCACCCGATCACACTACGCACCGACGGTATGTCCAGAAGCTCAACGGGTACCTCATCGATGTGGCCAAGAACCCTGATGCTTTCCAGAGGAAGGTGAGGGGGCGCCGTGAAGCAAGCGTCCGGGAATTGTGGCAAGAGAGCTCCGGTTGCTCGTTGGCTGTCTATTGGCATGTGGCTGCCTGTAAACACCGCTTGCTCACATGGTTTCATGCTAGGGCTTGCTGATTGACTCCCTGCGTTATAGCCAGGCCCCGGTCGCGGCCTTTGGGCGCTGATAAAAGCAGTGTCCCACGTTCCATATGTTCTAAGTGGCCGTGGCAGCCGAGTGATGGAATCACTCTCGATATCAGTCGGGCATGGAAAATCATGCTGCAGAGCTGCTTTCGTCCCACAGAAACGTTGTCGCACGGCAAAGTTCTTTTGGCAGACCGGGAAACATCTAGGACTTGGAGCAAGCTCCCCTGAATCCGGCATTGTGATGTAAGGTCTGCAAGAGGACGCCTTGTTTCCATGAGCTCAGTTTCAAGATTTACCCTGTGCATATCTCACGTGGCTTACTCGCGGCGGTACCACAAAAGAGCGTCTTGGATGTACATCTATTTATCTACCTATCTATTTCTCTATCTATCTATCTATCTATTTATCTATCTATCTTTATATCTGTCTATATCTTTATCTATCTATCTATCTATCTACCTATCTATCTATTTATCTACTTATTTATCTATTTATTTATCTATCTACCTGTCTATCTATCTGTTTGTTTATCTATCTTTCTCTATCGAAGCTCTTAGTGGCGGGAGGCCTCCTCCGGAAAGGCGCCTTCAGAGGCCCCGGCATCTCCCCAGGCATCTCCCCAGGAGCCTTTTTTTGGGAGTCAGGGATTCTGGGTTTAGAGTTTCGGATTGGGGCTTTTGGGTGCTTTTGGGTTTCGGGTTCAGGGGTTCGGGAGCGGTTTTTTTGGGGCATTCGAGGGGGGCCGGGGTGTGGTACGGTTTGGGTTCTGAACTTCGTAGCACGTTGTGGATCCTCAACTCTAAAACCTTCAAACCCTAACCGAAACCCTGAACATTAACCCCTTATGCGGGTCTGGGTGAGAGATTCTGTCGCAGTTGCTGCAGCCATGATCCCGGCCACTGCAGGCTAAATCCTAAACCCTATACCCAAGACCCTGAACCAACCCTAGACCCTTTAACCCCAGTTCCTAAACCCCAATCTCTAGACCCTAGGCGGTAGACCTTGCTTTTTCTGATCCTCCTGTTGTGTCTCCTGGCTGCAGGACCCTGGCACATCGTCGGCAGAGGGAAAGGAGGATGAGCAAACGGATGTGAAGAAGGAGGCACAGGAGGACCAGGGTTTGGGGTTCAGGCGCTCTGCGGTTTAGGGATTACTGTGGGGTTCGGTTCAGGTACGCGCAGGCCTACTCATTGCGCAGGTGCTTTACGTTTATGTCTTGCGGAAGGTTGAGCTGTGGCTGCTGCATGTGTAGTTGGGGTCGCGTGGTGTCCTCGCGATTATTCCAAAGCCTTGGAGGATTCCCCCAAGGATGCGAGGCTGCGGAAGCTCATACGCCATTTCCCCAACAGACATTTGTTGCAGAATATGAGAGCCTTCTTTCGGCCATTTTGGGCCTTGGATCCTCAAACTGAGGTGGAGTCTACGAGAGGAAGAATCCAGAGAAGCTTGCCGACTTGGACGACCTCTTGGCAAAGTATGCCGACAAGCTCGAGCAGGCTCTGCTCGATTCTGAGTGGCGACGCTTGATCTGAGAATCATCCCTATTACGAACATGTCTAGTGTTGACATAGAAGTAGCTTGCGTGTTAACGAAGTTTGTATGGGCTTTATTGATGTCAATGCTCCTCCCATTCCTCTTTTTGCAGAGTTTGATGCTGCCTTATCTTGCTTGCTCTGATGACTCGTGGCTACCTGAACGCGCTGTCTTGCTCCTTTGCCGACGGATGTCCACATTACTGCAGTTCTACATGTGCTTTGTACATTCCAGCATGGTTTTCTTCAATTCTGGGGTAATTGTGATCTACTACAGTATTGCATCAGCATGTCGCCATGTCAAGAATAGTAGCAAGGATACACACAACAATGTCAGTAATGATAGCAAAAGAGTACTTGTAGCGGTAATAGTAGTGGCAGTACAAGTAATAATCGACTGCGCTTTCAAAGGCTCCAGGGGAGAGTCGCAACTCGGCAGGCTTATGAGTATGTCTGCAACAAGTACGGCGAGACCAAGGAGGCCAGAAAGCTCGAATCCCACACCCTCACTGCATTTAGGCTTTAGGGTAAAACGCTGAGTTCCGGATTGTACGAATTTCGTGGTTTCGGGTTCAGGGGTTTAGGGGTGTGGGTTGTAGCTTCATTGAGAGTTGCTGTAAGCCCCGGCTTGTCAACCCTTTGTCAGGATCTGGATTCGATGGAGCCGCCGCTCACGGTCTTCGACCGGGGCCAAGCCATGTAAGTTCTTTCGTAGAAGGGGGCCTCACCATTTTTGTGCCGCCAAGCCAGAGGCCACCCGAAGGTTTAAAGCGAAGGTTCCCGGAGTCATTCCAAACCCATGTTCATAAGTACTTCTCATTCTCCTACTGCTGCAGCAAAATGTACCACAGCAGCTGCTGCAACTGCTACTTCAACTGCTTCTGCTACTACTGTTGCTACTACTCCGACACAACTGCTACCAACGACTACGGCTGCGACGACGACAACAACAACACTCATGCTACTGTTCCTGCTACCGCTACTGCTACTACTACTGCTACTGCTAGTAGTACTAGTACGAGTACGAGTACGAGTACGAGTACAAGTACAAGTACTACTACTACTACTACTACTACGTAGTAGTAGTAGTAG